GCTACTTTCTGAATGGTACAGAGAATAAACTGGTAGATACCTAAACATTTTATTGCATATGAATACAGCTTCATATTTTGTGAATGATGCTCTCAAGGCTTTTACTTAATTCCAAGACCTCAGTTCTACTGTATCCCAGGACTCTTACAAAAGTTTCCTTTCTTGAGACCACAAGACTGAGAAAGTAGTAAATTTAGTCGGGCAAGTGTCTTCTTACACAGGGACTTTGTCCTGATACCCTTTCTTCAAAATTCTGCAATATGAATTTCCTGGTCTATATAGCATTCTACTAACATCCAGGCTTTGTGAATTTTTTAAGGGACAACTCTAAGTGGAGTTGTTCAACAACTTTGTTTTATAAAAGATCTTTGAATTCCACTGCAGTGTATTTACCTGGTTCACTACAAAGTTTGCTATTGGCTGTTTAAAATATTTATCCAAGGTTTATGGTTATTCAACACATAAATGCCTGAAACATCTAATTGTGCTTAATTTGATTCCATTAGTGAGACTATTCCTTGTTGGGGAGCCACAGTCAAATGCACGCCAAAGCACTTGAGTATCACATCACAGAAAAGAGTCATCTGATGACAAGAAAAGCAAAAGGGAAGCACTGTGAGGGCAGGTGGAGAAAGCCTGGGCAAATGCCTTAGTTGTGGTAAGCGCTGTGCTCAATCCTCACATTCAACTAGTGCCAGGCAGCAGTCAGTTATTATTGATTCCACACAGAATTCATTCTCCCTGAGAGTTGGCCAGAAACAAGGTTTATTAAGCCTTACATCACTTTATCATCAAGGTTAACTCCTCGCTCTAAGGGCCATTAAGAGAGCTTTATTATTAGTTTGTAATTTTGTATGTTTTAAGTGGAATGACATTATTTTGCCCAAGTGAATAAAATGAAGTACAGTAATTGTAATTGCTATTGCCAGACTCCATAGCGAGCCTCATAGGATTTTCCAAAAGTAAAATGACAATGCATCATCATCAACCTGGCTACCATCCTGCCATGACAAATCCTGGAATATTTCCAACATTCTCCAACAATTCTTGGGTGTCCCTGCATAAGATATACGACATGTCAAAGTCCAGATTCATTACCTTTCTACTTCTTTTTCCCTTCACTACAGGACAATCCTTCATCATTGACTCATTTTTTAAAGGAGTCCTCCAGTTAAAAATATATCAAGATCTTGCCACAAGATTTCTTGACACTGACTCATTATTTTAGAAAAGAATATATTCAAGGAAAGTAATGGGTAGTAATAATGGCCAAGTGACAAAGCACAGCACTATACACACAAGATGAATAGCATTGACATAAGATGATAAACTAAAGTACCTGAACGTTCATGGTGATTAAAATCAATTTAAGCGAAGTGGAGTTAGGAATTAAGGTGAACCCACACATTACCAAGAATCTGAATATAACAAATTCTTAATGCCTTAGGCCAATATTACCTGGTTCCTGTTCTAAGAAATAATGTTATTACTTGCTGCTTGTTCCTCTGCCCATTGCCCTGCATATTCTCTTGCTTCATATTTGTCTGTATGCATGCAACACACATAATATATATACACACATGAGAACACACTTGAACCAGTCAACTTGACCACTGGCTCTTGCAGAAACATCGGCTTTGCAATGAAAAAGACACCAAAATAGAACTAACTTGAGCCAAAATGTGGACGCCACACATGATAAGGCCATTCTTACAGAACTGAAACATAGTCACGTGACTGGGAAAGGATTTTATAAGGCAATCACAGAGGAAAGTCCAGTTCCTTCACACATGGTAATTTGATTTGAATCAAGTCTTTCCCACTAAAGTCTGCTTGCATTCAGCTAGATGATCTGTTGCATACACCTGTGAAATTAGTCTCAATGAATAACAAGCTTCATACAAATAGCATTTGGCATCTGTTTTTGGAACAGGCATGGAAACTTTCTGCTTCATTCTCCATAATCCTCAAGGAGAACACCAAAGAACTCTGAATGTCCTTGATTTGAATGTGTTCAATGATTGGTGTAATACAAATGTCTACTGAAATAAAGGAAGCAAAAAAAAAAAAAAAAATGACCTGCGAGACCACTAACTTATATCCTTTTGGTTTGATTCAAACTACAATGTACTTTCAGAATTTCAGAGTTAAAAAAATCATGTAATTCATCTGGTTAACCCCTTACCACTGTACATGAGGAAAATAAGGCTTAGTGGGTTTAAAAAATTATTTGATTAAAGATAATTTCAAAAGCCATATATATATTGAAAGAGGCCCACATGTACTAAGCAGTCAAAAATTAGGCTCTCTAGAATCAATTATGGAGTAGACTAAGCACAGTTAACTTCTATACCACGTATTAAATACCCTTACACTCATTTATCTTCTTTTTTTTTAAGATTTTATTTATTTATTAATGAGAGACAGAGAGAGAGAGAGAGGCAGAGACACAGGCAGAGGGAGAAGCAGGCTCCATGCAGGGAGCCTGATGCAGGACTCGATCCTGGGTCTCCGGGATCACACCCTGGGCTGAAGGTGGTGCTAAACCGCTGAGCCATCTGGGCTGCCCTCATTTATCTTCTCTTTAAAAAACATGGCAATAATATATACTTCACAAGATTATTATGAGATATATATAAAATAATATCAAAGAGACCCATAGTTTAATAACTTGCAGAGAACAGAACCCCAGATAACTTCTTCCTCTTTCTGTTTAACTCACGTTAGGTTGAATTTACACTATTTTTACCCTCATTAAGGCATTAGATTAGGTGCATTTTATCACACCTGTTTTCACTGACTTTTATATTTCAGTAGAAAATATGTAATATTATTTTGGGGGGAATGTATCTGTTTTACATAAAATGTTAATACCTTTTGTATTTTGCTGATCTAATCCAACTGTATGTAGTAAAAAAAAAAAAAAAAAAACTTTCCTCATGAGTAAATTTGATTTTTTTTAACTGTGGAATTGTGTTTCATAGTTTATATTTTTTTCTTTTAAATATTTTATTTTATTTGTTAATGATTTTTTTTTTAATTCAGAGAGACTGAGAGAGAGAGAGAGAGGCAGAGGGAGAAGCACGCTCCATGCAGGAAGCCCAACGTGGGACTCCATCCCGGGTCTCCAGTATCACACCCTGGGATGCAGGTGGTGCTAAACTGCTGTGCCACCGGGGCTGCCCCATAGTTTATATTTTCTAGGATTATGTAGCCAGTCTCTAATTTTAGACATTTATTTCTAGACTTTTCAAGTTTCTTGCCCTTACCAATTATGTATGACCCAACAAATATTTTTCATATACCTTGTTGTATAAAAGTTCCTGAGTAGAAACCAAATATCCATTATTGGAACCAACACAACTCAGTTATCTATTGTTGGGTAACAAATTATTTCAAAAGCCTGTGGCTATACACAATATACACAGTAATTATTTATTATTTCTCATGGTTTCTCTGGGTCAAATATTTAAACAGAGTACAAGGGCGATGACTTGTGTCTGCACTATTATGTCTAAGGTCTCAGCTCCAAGTTCTAAAATCAAGAACTAGAATATATCTGATGGTTGAGGCTAATTGTCATTGGAATACCTACTCAAGTCTTCTCAGTGTGACTTGGACTTCTTCACAGTGTGGTAGCAGGGTTTACAGAGCAAGCTTCTCAACACAGGGAAAAGATCAGAAGAAATCTGTATTGTTTATCACAAGAGAGTTTCAAAAGCCATGCATCATCATTTTCATTACATTGTAAAGGTTGTGATATTCACACAGATCTGTCTAGTTTCAAAGAAAGTAAACATAACCTTACTTTTGATGGAAGACATCATCACATTGGGACAGCTATATTTTGGAAAAATCCTTCTACAATGAAAGGAAATGAGATTTAAATTTCAGTAGATACTGCCAAACCATTCTCCAAATTGGCTTCACTATTAATATTTCATGTGACACTTAAAACAAGATAAACTTTAATTCACATTTGATTTCTATATGTTAAAAATATAAACAAAATATGTCACACCTGAAGTATTTCAACCAAGACAAGCATTAAGTCCTATTGCACGGAGAAGGAAAAGAGAGAGACAGAGATAGAGGGGAGGGAGAAAGCCAGGGAGAGACTCCAATTTTTCTTTTTAAACAAAACTCTCAGGATACAGATAGTTAACACAATCTTTTTATCCTCGGTTTCCTTATTTGTACAACTGAGATAATTAATTTAATCTCCCTCAAAATACTATTATCAGACTGATGTGAATTAACTAAAATAATTAATGTATACATAATGATGTATATAAAGCCCTCAGCATAGTAAGCGCATAGTAAATGTTTAAACTTAGTGTTCTATGCTTATAATTTTATCATAATAAATTTTATAATTACTCCCATTGTCCTTTTTCACACTTTTCCATTTTCCCACGCATTTTTTTTCAAAAGACTAACTTAATTGCCCTATCTCCCTTTCAATAGCCTTTATATGTGCAACCCAATATAATCTGATTATAGCCCTATAAATATTTTACAAAAAATAATTTTACTAAGAACATTAACAATCTCTCATTTTCTAAATTAAATAAACAATATTTAGTCTTTAGGGTAGATCTCTTTGCTATTTCTGACACTAGTCATTTATCACTTTTTTTCTTAACATGTATATTTGTATATAGGCAGATATGTATAGATTCATGTTTACTCCTTTAAGGAAATTTACAAAGCAGTTAAATTCACTTTGTTAAACAAATTTTTAAAACAACATGTAAATAAAAAGGTAAATATTTGAAAGGTACTATAATTGTGCCTAAATGTAGTAAGCACTACATTATTTTTGTTACTATTTGTTATTATTACAAGAAACAAACTGATTTCTTACTCATTGCCAAAACCACACAAGCCAAAAGACAATGGAGTAACATCTTCAAAGTGCTATAAATAAATAAATAAATAAATAAATAAATAAATAAATAAATAAACCAAAAATTTATACCCAGAAAAATTATCCTTACAAAAAATGAGAGTGGCACCTGGGTGGCTCAGTTTCTTAAGGGTCTGCCTCTTGGGTTCTCCTCAGGTCATAATTTCAGGGAACTGAGACTGAGGCTTGCATCCATGCTAGGTACAGGGTCTGCTTGGGATTCTCTCCTTTTTCATCTTCTTCTGCCCTGCCCCTGCTCAAGTATGTGCTCGCTCTCTCTCAATCTCTCTCTCTGCAAATAAATAACCTTTAAAAAATGAAAGAGGTATAAAAATCTTCTCAGGTAAAAAAGGAATTAAAAAGTGTATTCAATGCCAGAACTCTTGCATTACAAGAAATGTTAAAAGCAGTTACTCAGGAACAAGTATGTTATAAGGCAGAAATTTGGATTTACACATAAAAAATGGAAAGTTCAAGAACTACCATAAGTGAAAGTAAATATATAAAGTTATTTTTTTAAATGCTCAAAAAACTTACTGCATAAAGCAAAAACAGAGGCAACAGTAATATATGTACAGAATATACATTTTTCTCAAGCACACAAGAGACATTCTTCAGGACAAACCATATGCTTTGCCACAAAACAAGTATTAATATAAAAAGATTGAAATCATAAATGGCCTCCAATCATAATGGAATGAAACTATAAATCAATAACAGACAGTAAATTGGAATATTAACAAATATATGGAAATTCAACAACACATTTGTGAACAACCAACAAAACAGAGAAATTTCAAGGGAGATTAGAAATTACTTTAAGACCAATAAAAATACAACATACCAAAATACATGGAATGCAAAGAAAATAGTGCTTAGAGGAAAACTTGTAAGGATGAATGACAACATATAAAAACAAGATCTCAAATAAATAGCAAAATTTTGCACCTAAATCAATAGCAAAATTTTACACCTAAATTATCTAGAGAAAGAGGAGCAAACTAAATACAGAACTAACAAAAGGAAGGATAGAATAAAGATTAGAACAGATATAAACAAAAAAAGATAATAGGAAAAACAGTAGAAAGAAAAATGAAATCAAACGTTTATTCTTTTAAAAGATCAACAAGATTGCCAAACCTTCAACTGGATGGTTAATAAAAACTAGAAAAGGTGCAAGTAACTAAAATTAGAAATGAAAGGGGGGTACACTACTACTGACCTTACAGCAGTTAAAAAGATTGTAATGGAATAATTTTATGTCAACAAATGAGATAAAAAATAGAAAAATTCCTAGAAATATACAAACCACCAAACTGGGCTAAAGAAATAGGAAATCTGAACAGACCTATAACAATGAGACAGACTGAATTAGTGTTAAAAAAAAAAAAAAAAAGCCTCTAACAAAGCAAAGCCCAGAACCAGATGGCTACAATTGTAAATTCTACCAAACATGAAAAGAGGACTTAAGACCAATTCTTCTCAAACCGTGCCAAAAAATATGAGAAAAGGGAAGGTTTTCTAATTTATTCTATGAGACTAGCATTATCTTGTTACCAAAGTCACATGAAAAGAAAACTACATAGAGACCAACATCCTTTATGAATAGAGATGGAAAAAAATCCTCAACAAAATGTAAGCAAACTGGATCCAACAGCACATTGAAAAGGTATAGACCATGAAAAAGTGGAATTTATCCCCAGATGCAAGTGTGGTTGAATATAAGAAAATCAATCAAGGTAATATACCAAATTAGAATGAAGAAAAAAAATAAGATCATTTCAATTAAAGCAGTAAAAACATTTGACAAAAACAAACTCTTTAATGATGAAAAACACTTAGAATACTAGGAATAGAAGGACAGTTTTCAAAATGATAGATTACATCTATAAAAACCCACAGCAAACAATATATTTAGTAGTGAAAAACTAAAAGCTTTCCCCCTAAGATGAGGAATAACAAAAATATGTTTCCCATGCTCTGTTATTGAACTTTGTACTGGAAATTCCAGCAACAAAAATTATGCAATTAAAAGTAATAGAAGGCATTCAAATTGGAACAGGAAAAGTAAAGCTATCTCTTTATAGATGATATGATTCTATATTAGCTATTAGCACTAGTAAATGGATCCAGGGCACAAGATCAAATGCAAAAATCACTAGCAATAAACAAGCTGAAAAGGAAATTAAGAAAACAATTCCATTACAATAGCATACAAAAATTCAATTCTTCCCAAATCATTCCAGAGGCATTATCCTGGTATGGAAACCAAAGGGATTTTACAAGAAAGAAAACCACAGACTAATATGCCTCATAACCAGATATGTACAAATGTCGTTTAAAATACTTGAATTCAGACCAAATAATATAAAAAGGATAATATATAACATTCAAGTGGGAGTATATCTCTGGAATCCAAGGCTAGTTTAACATTAGAAAACAAATTATCATTCAATGTAATGCCAAACTAAAAACACCATGAACACTAACAAAAACATGTGATCATCTCATTAGAACAAGCGTTTGACAAAAAATCCAGTATTTGTTCTTGATACAACTTCTGAAGAAAGTAAGGATATACCTGAATGTCCTAATCCTGATAAGGAGTGACAAAAAAAAAAAAAAAAAAAAAAAAAAAAAAAAAAAAACCAAAAAAACAAAAAATCCCAAAACCTTATAGCTAATATCATACTTAATATTGGAAGACTGAAATGCAGTCAGGAAGAAGAAAAGAATGTCCACTCTCAGCATTTCTTTTCAAAACTTAAGTGGAATTTCTAGCCAATGTAATAATGCAAGTAAGAAGAGAAAGAGGCACCCAGTTGGAAAAGACAATTGAAATTGTCTTTATTGATAAATAACATTATTCTCTATGATGAAAATGTGGGAGGATATACTTCAAAACTACTAAATGACTTTAGTAAGAATGAAAGGATATAAGATCAATATGCAAAAACAACTGAATTTTTATGTACTAGCAACAAATAATTGAAAATTGGAGTAGAAAATAACCATTTACAGTAGATCCAAAAGTATAGCATATGCAGGGATAAATGTGGCTGTAAGTGTGTAAGTTATATACACTAAAAACTACAGTTTTACCAAAAGAAAGTTTTTAGAAGACCCAGAAAAACAGAAAGAGAGATCTTACTCAATAGTTAGAAGCCTCAGAGTTTTTAGGATGCCAAGTTCCCTCCCCAAACTGATGAATAGTTTCAATATAATTCCAACATTCAAGAAGACTTTCTTTGTAGAAATTGATGGGCTGATTCTAAAATTCATACATGTTGTGACTTTGTGAAATTAACATTCAAGAAGAGTCCCAAGATCTAATGGTGAGCTGTGGGTTCAACAAATCACTGAAAGAAAACTAAAACAGGAAAGTATTTCACAGACTCACAGATACATACCTCAAAAGGCCACAATGGGAAGGTCAAAGCAGGATGAAGGCAAATAAAGTGGCAAGACCTGGAGCATACACATTTCTTAGGATCCCTGCCTGGTAGAGCACTTAGAATTTTGAGGCTAAAGCTGGATTGGTCTATTCAAGCCAAAAAAAAAAAAAAAAAATGAGGTTTTGGTAAGTTCTGTGGAAATTTCATCTAAAACATACAAAAAAGGAAGGCCTTGGGCCCAAAGACCTATGAGTAATAAGCATAAGTCAATTACACCTCAATAACACAGAAGAAAGGAAATCGAGTTTCTATCTGTATGCCTACACGTAAAAAAACGCATGCTAGGGAAATACAAAGTAGTAATCTTGCAATTCCCATGTAGTCTACAGAAACAGAAGTAATTGTTTATAGAAAATGAAAAAGGAAGCATCCATATGGCAAAGACAAATGAAAGCTGGAGAGAGGTTTTACTGGTTCTCAGTTTCTCATTTTAGTCCACTTCTGAGACCTGTCTGCATGCATTACCACAAACTCCAAGACATACTCTATTTCCTGTAGCATGTTCATTACCAATTCATGTATTTGCATTTATTTTATTTTTGTTGTTGAAGCTAGCACAAGTAGGCTTCTGTTCCTTGCCACCCAAAGTATTCAACAATATAATAACAACTACATCCCCCAGGATACTTGAAGCTTGACCGTCAGTCCCTTTTCTCCTATAGGCAGATCTACAGAGGAAGCCAAATTATAATTAGCTCGTTTGGTGATGTGGTTGCAGCACAAAAAGGAGTTAACTAAACTGAAGTGTTAATAATATCAGACTCACATAGCCTTATGTTTTAATGTCATAATAACAAGGCTTGAGCTTGCCAATAGAATTGCAATAATCCAAGTCTATTTTTTAAGGCTCTCTCCTGGACATGGCTTAGAATAATACTTATTTCCAACATTGTCCTCTATGAATAATTATTTCTATCTTCATGGCTGATCTATATCCATTTTGACACTATTTTTTTAAGTACAGGGACATACTCTATCAAGTTTGAGTTGTATCTTATGAGTGACTCTGCTCCTCTTTTCCCTTATTTAATAAGTGCTGATTTTCAAAATACTTGAAAAAAAAAGAGTATTTCCTTTATTCCCAGGTTCTTCATAGACCCTCTCCCATTATTCCTAATTACTGATAACAATAATTACACTAACTGGTCTTGTTGCCAGAAATAATTTTGAAAATTTTGTGAAAACTCTTCAAATGTGCAACTCTATTACTGATATAGCAGTCAAAAATATTACTTTAAAATATATTTTGAGGGAGCCTGGGTGGTTCATTTGGTTAACTGTCTGCCTTCAGCTCAGGTCATGATCCCAGGATTCTGGGATTGAGCCTGTGTCAGGCTCCCTGCTCAGTGGGGAAGCCAGCTTCTCCCTCTCCCTCTGCCCCCACCTCCCTCTCTCACTCATGCTCTCTTTCATTCTCTCTGAAATAATAATAAATAAATAAATAAATAGTAAATAATAAGTAAATAAGTAATAAATAAATAAATAAGAACATATTTTTGCCTGTGTATTGTAACATGGCTTTCCTTATAAGAAATGTAATATCTTTTTTCTTGAGTCTCTGCTTGTCATTTAGCTACTAGAGGATAAAAGGCATTAGTCTAAAATATACATAAATAACTCCTACTGACACTGACCAGGAGTCCTAACACTTTGGTTTGACTACTGAGCCTGTAAATATTATACGGAGTCTGGGAAAGGGTGGCAGCTATTCTACAACAGATGGATGGATGGCTGGAAAAGGTATTAATAGACAATGAGTATTTAGGTAGTCTGTAATTAAGTAAAATGGTGATGGATAACTTGAGAATGAAAAGTATCTATCCTCAAGAGGTCCAGATATGTAAAGAGAGTT